AAAAAAAAAAAAAAAAATCAAAAATATTATTATTTTTTTTACTTAGTATGAAAATTGTTTATTATTCTGTATGATTGGTAAACAAACTAAACAAATTTAAAATGTGACGATAATATAATTGTCCTGCCCCTGAGCTGGTGGCCAACTGAGCAATTTGGTTGGATAGCACAGTATTAATGTTTCTAAATAAGCTGCTTTAAAGCCAGTGTTGCTGACAAACTACATCTTCTAAAATGCATGTTGATTATACATGGGAATTCCCTGTCAGAAAGTGGTTGAGTTCAGAATTCAAGATGGCAGCCACTCACTAGAAACTCAGTGAGTAAAATTCTATTAGTTTTACTTTTAATATTATTTCTGTATTATTTATTTCAAATTTAGTCAGTCGTATTCTTAATTCTTTTCAGTGTTTAAAAGAGGACATGCTAAAGTACTCTTCAGTCAAATTTTAACATGAAATGTTAAAGTTAACTACAACTGGCTCTTTGGGGGCCACCATAACACTCATGTGGCCCTCGGTGAAAATGAGTTTGACACCCCTGCTCTAGAGGATACAATATAGACAATATCCTTTTAAAATTCATTTCTACTAAAAGGCTGAAGCTGTTTTACAGCTTGGCAAGTTCTTATGAACTTTTGTTGTGCTCTTTGTTTTGTTATGAAATAATTTTTTTCAGTTTTACTCAACTTTTTGTCGAATTAGTGATAGTAGAACCCCTTTTTACTCATTGGCTCATTTTCCTCCAGCAGCTCTGACTCGACCAGATCGGAGTCATGACTGAGTTGTCACAAAGATTGTACAAATAATTTAGCCTTTTTCTAAAACAAATATATACTGTTCATCAAATCAAACATGTTGTGATTATTCATGTTATCAAGTCTGACTGTAGCTTATTGTAGAATGGCACATAGAGGATTATGTGTCAAGACTAAAAGACTAAAATAAAAGATCCAGCTCTTACAGCAGTACTGGTTTTCCTGCAGCAGTGGACAGTTTGGACATGGGTTTAGTCCAAAAATCGAGACAGCACTGGGAGTGTCAGTGTCCTACAAATGACAAATACATTAATAGTTTTTACAGTTTTTTATGACGTTTTAAAATTAGAAGTGGTCAACAGCCACCTGTACTGATAAAATAAAACAGTAGGGATGGTGAGTGGTGGAAAATTCATTGACGTGGCTGTATAGTATCTGGATAGTTAAATATACTAGCACTGATATTTTATTTTGTGTTAGCTTACCCAAGAGCTGATGTTTTTGTAAAAGTGGTGAATGAAGTGAAGAGTGAAAAGCTCATTAACTCTGTCTTCAATCATCACCAGTTTCTGTGTGATATTTTCACTCTGACTGTCAATGAGGGAGTCCAAATCTGAGCTCTTGTAGTAGATTTGAAGTGTTGAATTGAGACCTAAAACAGGTGATAGGAACAAGGGATGCTGCACAACATTTCTTCAAAACGGACGTTTGGTCAGAAACCACGAAGACAGATTTGGCGGAACAAAAGGAATCAACCCTCAGTCATAAAACAAAATACATTTCAGGCATGGAGGAAGGAGTTATGTTTCTGTCTGAAGTTTCTGGCACTTTACCATTTTTGAGCTGATCTAAAAGGTACGTCCAAAAGCATCATGTTTATTACAAATGAAAAAGTTTATCTGAAGCCTTGGAGCTTACCTATGAACCAACACAAACCTGAGAAATCTGCTTTCGAATGGTCTCAACTTTACTATCCTGAAAGCTGATAAAGGTCATTAAAACGTGACTCTTCTCCCCCGCTTAGGAAATAAGTCATAACATATTTAACCATTAATAATAATAAAAATAATAATTTCAGTAATTTAATTTTGAATAACCACTTACTCCTAAAGTCCCTGACTAGATCGTCGAGGTCATATTCCTCTGTTTCTACAGTGATTTTTGTGATGGCATCATTGACGTCTTGCAGTTTCCATTCGTTGAATAACACGGTTATCCCAACCAAACTGGCAGGAAAGCTCCTCACCCTTGGACTGAAACCAACTCTCTGCAATTGGATGCTGAATTTCCTGATGAGCAGACCCCAGTCAGTCAAGACTGACAACCGCACATCCTGCACAAGATCTGTTAGCACTGGGACACCCCAGGGCTGTGTGCTGAGCCCCCTGCTATACACACTCTACACATCTGACTGCGTGGCCTCACAGAGCAACAACAGTATCATCAAGTTTGCCAATGACTGTACAGTCATGGGACTGATCACTGGTGGGGATGAGACAGCATACAGGTAGGAGGTGGCTGAGCTGGTGGAATGTTGTGATCGCAACAACCTTACCTTAAACATAGGCAAAACCAAAGAAATGATTGCTGATCCAAGGAGGAAGAGGCAGGATTGCCACACACCCCTGCTTATTGGTGAGACAGAGGTGGAGAGAGCGGAAACCTTCAAATTCCTTGGCGTGCACATCAGCGAGGATCTCACCTGGTCACACAACACCAACCACATCGTCCGCAAGTCCCAGTAGCGGCTGTACCTTCTGAGAAGGCTGAGGAAGTTTGGCATGTCAACCAAAATTCTCAGCAATCTACAGGAGTACAATTGAGAGCATCCTCACCAGTTCCATTATGGTGTGGTATGGAAACGGCACCACCCAGGACAGGAAGGCTCTCCAACGTGTGATTTATGACTGCAAAGTCCATTTCCAGAGCAACCTTCTCCTTATTGCAGGACATCTACAGGACCAGGGTCATCAGAAAGGCCCATAGCATCATCAGGGATAGTACTCACCCCCAACACAACATCTTCACGCCCCTGCCGTCGGGCCGACGCTATAAGAGTGTGAAGTCTAGGACAACCAGGCTGACGGACAGTTTTTATCCACAAGCCATCATCAGATTTGTAAACACCTCCAACCCCACTTCACTCTGAAAGTGTCTGAACCCTAACATGTACTCGTAATATGAGCCCACCACACATTCTGCGGCTACTGGTCTACAATACTGTTAATTACTGCATAACACTGGTTTATGTAATAACAGTATAACACTAGTGTCTATATTGTCGGGTCTATATGTATAATGTTTGTAGCGATGGGTGTTTCTGCATTTAAAGCACTTTTAAGACAGTTGATGTT